GGAAGCAACAACGCGAGCTATTGATCTACAACATAATTTGCAAAATACTACCAGGACTAAGTTCATGATAAATTTAAGTTCAATTTAATCATATTACTTAAGAACTCCCACTTAGATAGACATCCCTCTAATCCTCTAAGTGATCACGTGATCCAAATCAACTAAACCATGTCCGATCATCACGTGAGATGGAGTAGTTTCATTGGTGAACATCACTATGTTGATCATATCTACTATATGATTCACACTCGACCTTTCAGTCTCTGTGTTCCGAGCCATATCTGTATATGCTTGGCTCGTCAAGTATAACCTGAGTATTCCGTGTGTGCAACTGTTTTGCACCCGTTGTATTTGAACGTAGAGCCTATCACACCCGATCATCACGTGGTGTCTCAGCACGAAGAACTTTCGCAACGGTGCATACTCAGGGAGAACACTTCTTGATAATTTAGTGAGAGATCATCTTATAATGCTACCATCAATCAAAGCAAGATAAGATGCATAAAAGATAAACATCACATGCAATCAATATAAGTGATATGATATGGCCATCATCATCTTGTGCCTGTGATCTCCATCTCCGAAGCACCGTCATGATCACCATCGTCACTGGCGCGACACCTTGATCTCCATCGTAGCATCGTTGTCGTCTCGCCAATCTTATGCTTCCACGACTATCGCTACCTCTTAGTGATAAAGTAAAGCATTACAACGCGATTGCATTGCATACAATAAAGCGACAACCATATGGCTCCTGCCAGTTGCCGATAACTCGGCTACAAAACATGATCATCTCATACAATAAAATACAGCATCATGTCTTGACCATATCACATCACAACATGCCTTGCAAAAACAAGTTAGACGTCCTCTACTTTGTTGTTGCAAGTTTTACGTGGCTGCTACGGGCTTAAGCAAGAACCAATCTCACCTACGCATCAAAACCACAACGATAGTTTGTCAAGTTGGTGTTGTTTTAACCTTCGCAAGGACCGGGCGTAGCCACACTTGGTTCAACTAAAGTTGGAGAAACTGTCATCCGCAAGCCACCTATGTGCAAAGCACGTCGGGAGAACCGGTCTCGCGTAAGCGTACGCGTAATGTCGGTCCGGGCCGCTTCATCCAACAATATCGCCGAACCAAAGTATGACATGCTGGTAAGCAGTATGACTTATATCTCCCATAACTCACTTGTGTTCTACTCGTGCATATAACATCAACACATAAAACCTAGGCTCGGATGCCACTGTTGGGGAACGTAGTAATTTCAAAAAAATTCCTACGCACACGCAAGATCATGGTGATGCATAGCAACTAGAGGGGAGAGTGTGATCTATGTACCCTTGTAGACCGACAGCGGAAGCGTTAGCACAACGCGGTTGATGTAGTCGTACGTCTTCACGGCCCGACCGATCAAGCACCGAAACTATGGCACCTCCAAGTTTTAGCACACGTTCAGCTCGATGACGATCCCCGGACTCCGATCCAGCAAAGTGTCAGGGAAGAGTTCCGTCAGCACGACGGCGTGGTGACGATCTAGATGTACTACCGCCGCAGGGCTTCGCCTAAGCACCGCTACAATATTATCGAGGATTATGGTGGAAGGGGGCACCGCACACGGCTAAGAATATGATCACGTGGATCAACTTATGTGTCTATGGGTGCCCCCTGCCCCGTATATAAAGGAGTGGAGGAGGGGAGGGCCGGCCCTCTCTATGGCGCGCCCTAGGGGAGTCCTACTCCCACCGGGAGTAGGATTCCCCCTTTCCTAGTCCAACTAGGAGTCCTTCCATGTAGTAGGAGTAGGAAACAAGGAAGGGGCGCAGCCCCTCCCCCTAGTCCAATTCGGACTAGGCCTTGGGGGGGCGTGGCCTGCCCTAGGCAGCCCCTCTCTCTTTCCCGTATGGCCCAATAAGGCCCAATACTTCTCCCGGCGAATTCCCGTAACTCTCCGGTACTCCGAAAAATACTCGAATCACTCGAAACCTTTCCGATGTCCGAATATAGTCGTCCAATATATCGATCTTTACGTCTCGACCATTTCGAGACTCCTCGTCATGTCCCCGATCTCATCTGGGACTCCGAACTCTTTCGGTACATCAAAACTCATAAACTCGTAATATAACTGTCATCGAAACCTTAAGCGTGCGGACCCTACGGGTTCGAGAACAATGTAGACATGACCGAGACACGTCTCCGGTCAATAACCAATAGCGGAACCTGGATGCTCATATTGGCTCCTACATATTCTACGAAGATCTTTTATCGGTCAGACCGCATAACAACATACGTTGTTCCCTTTGTCATCGGTATGTTACTTGCCCGAGATTCGATCGTCGGTATCTCAATACCTAGTTCAATCTCGTTACCGGCAAGTCTCTTTACTCGTTCCGTAATACATCATCTCACAACTAACTCATTAGTTGCAATGCTTGCAAGGCTTATGTGATGTGCATTACCGAGAGGGCTCAGAGATACCTCTCCGACAATCGAAGTGACAAATCCTAATCTCGAAATACGCCAACCCAACATGTACCTTTGGAGACACCTGTAGAGTACCTTTATAATCACCCAGTTACGTTGTGATGTTTGGTAGCACACAAAGTGTTCCTCCGATAAACGGGAGTTGCATAATCTCATAGTCATAGGAACATGTATAAGTCATGAAGAAAGCAATAGCAACATACTAAACGATCGGGTGCTAAGCTAATGGAATGGGTCATGTCAATCAGATCATTCACCTAATGATGTGATCCCGTTAATCAAATAACAACTCTTTGTCCATGGTTAGGAAACATAACCATCTTTGATTAACGAGCTAGTCAAGTAGAGGCATACTAGTGACACTCTGTTTGTCTATGTATTCACACATGTATTATGTTTCCGGTTAATACAATTCTAGCATGAATAATAAACATTTATCATGAAATAAGGAAATAAATAATAACTTCATTATTGCCTCTAGGGCATATTTCCTTCAGTGGGTTAGGCTTAAATGTTCTTGCCATGTGTTTCATGATGCTCTTGTTATGTTTGAATTATTATCTTTTATGCGAGCACCATTGAATCATCATGTCTAGCTAAAAGGCATTAAAGAAAAGCGCTTGTTGGGAGACAACCCAACACTTTTACCAACTGTTTTTGTGTGTTCACATGATTAGGCTACTGTAGTAATCATGTTTTATTGCTTTTGTTTCAATAAAGTGCCAAGTAATGCCTTTAGGATCTTGTTGGGTGATAGTTACTTTGATCTTGCTGAAAAACAGAAACTTTTGCACTTACAAAAATAATTCTAGTTTTTAACACAAGAGTGCTATTGAGTTTATTCTTTTTGCAAAAGATTAATATACAAATTGCTCACGTGTTCCTAATTTTTCAGAATTTTTGGAGTAGTAGAAGTATGGTTGGAGTACAGATTACTACAGACTATTTTATTTTTGACAGATTCTGTTTTCAATGCATAGTTTGCTTGTTTTCTAGTTTCCACGTCTTATATTGCTCAATATAAATTATGAAAATGATATGCTACAGTAGGCATTGTGTGAGAACAATTATGAATCTTGTCTTTGACATTACCAAAAGTGAAATGGTTTGCTCTTTATTATACTAACCTATCTCACGAAGTTCCGTTAAGTTTTGTGTGATTGAAGTTTTCAAGTTTTGGGTGAGATATCGATATGAGGAGAATAAAGAGTGACAAGACCCTAAGATTGGGGATGGCCAAGGCACCCCCAAGATAATATTCAAGGAAGATCGAAGAAACTAAGCTTGGGGATGCCCCGAAAAGCATCCCCTCTTTCACTACTAGGAAAAAGGCTACTAGCAGCGCGGGTAAAATGGCTACTAGCAGCGTGGGTACCCATAGCAGCATGGGTACCCGCGCTACTAGTATCGCGCTACAGCTAATAGTTAGTAGTAGCGTGGGTTAAACCCGCGCTACTGCTATTTAGTACCCGCGCTATTACTAACGAAATAGTAGTAGCGCCTCTTTAGTACCAACGCTACTAGTATCCTAAATACTAGTAGCGCTCAATTTGTTCCCTACTACTAACTATTTAGGATTTAAAAAAAATCGACCAATTCCATTTTATGCATACAATTCCGAGAAAACACAATAGTGATGGAAATGTCCTTATTCCTGATATCTACTATCACACAGTTGCCATATCTACTATCACACAGTTTCTCATTCTACATGTCCTCACTCCAATAGTAAGAAAAATGAAAAGGAAAAATAGAGCTAATCTTCAATGGAACGGTGCAATTGCACTACAGTCTCATGGATTCACTCTGCGGCTTCAACATCTCATTATCCTGCAGCAATGGAAATGAGCATCAGCAAGGCATATAGATATAATGAATAAATGGCGAGGAAGCATAATCTCAGATGATACAGGACTCAGGGACTAAGATTTTGATACAATGCGAATATGCACTGTAAGTACACATATATTTCAGTTACAAAAAGATATTCAGTTAAAAAGTTACAAATAACTGAATGAAACTCAGACTATATATTTCAGTTATAAAAAATATTTCAGCTTAGGAATGCAGTGTATAAATCAGACTAAATAGATAACACTACTGAAGCTTAAATTTAAATGTGCAGTTTAAGTACGAGCACCTACCAACTGAAGATAGCTAGCTAGCATAAATGTCAATTGGCGCAGGATTTTCTTTAGTGCATTTGCACTAGGAAACTAGTCCTAACATATCAGCATTTTGATCAGCATTATAAATCCCGTTGTGAATCCAAGGAAATCAACAGTTCTATAAGATATGGCTAGAAAACACTGGACAGAACAGAAAGAAGCCACTGCTTTGCTGTGTGGAAAATTCCCCGACATTACTTCACTATGGATTGGATAAAGAACCAATAAGGACAACACCCACGGTAACACTCTTACGTCAATGTTTGCAGTTTGGACCATCAGTTAAAATAAATGCACTAGCAAGTTAGCCTCTACATCAACCAGCCATCCAGACATGCATTTACTGACCTATACTTGGAGCTGCAGTTGCTTCAGATACTCAATGGCCTCGTCAAGCATGGATGCCTTGTTGGTTTTGTGGTGCCGACCTTGTTGGAATTGGGTATCAGGCTCTGCAACGCCTTCATCTTCTCGTTGATCCTGCTCCTCCGCCGCTGCACCCCAATCAAGCAAGCAAGCAATGAGAAGCCGAGAAAACAGGGCGAGAATAGCAGAAAAGCGGTTAACGACAGGGAAGCGAGACACCACCTTATCGGAGAGGTTGTGCAACTCGGCCGCGCAGGTGCGCTTGCTGCCGGATTCGGCGGCGGCGCGGGCGGTCAAAAGCTTGAACCCCTTAGGGTCATCAATTCTAGACCACTTGATATCCTTTAGATATTTCAAAACAGGCTTATCACGCTCTTGGATCTAGAATTAAGCAAGTATACAGTCAGAAATGCATTAAGGGAGCTAAAAGAACACCTACAAATAGAGCACACTATGAATTACCTCCTCAGTCATCACTTCATTTGTTTTCAAAGCAATGAGCCAAAAATCTGGGACTCCTTTAGCTAAAAAAAAGTTTAACAGCACATCAGAATGGTGATCACTAAGAGGAAGTGCAATCTTTGGTTTCATACCATCTGAATCTCCCCCTCAGCGGCATTTTCACTGGTTCGTTCTTTAGCAACACCATCAACCTCCACAACTCCATTTACAATGTACAATGTCATACGTCTGAAACCATGCAAAACAATGGAACAATTTGCACATAAGGAAATGGAAAGAAGTTATATCTTTTCATATATTCACCTGAAACGTTATAAACAAATGGAGTAAGCTCACCTTAGCATACAATGGTTCATACAGCTTCCGGTACTTGGCTTCAAGGGCAGCCCGTTCCTCGAAAAACTTCGCCTCAATCTCATCATGTTGACTCTGAAGTATTACACAGATAAATGTTAGTTCTCTGGGGCAACAAAGATCATACAACGAAATAGGAAATTTACGCAAGATATTGATCTACTCTGATAAACAAATATAGATAGAAATGGAACTTTTCAAAGATTCACCATGGATAATTGATATGATACAGGACAAACTTGAAGCAACAAGCTTGACTGCACACACAAAAATGCTAGGAAATGGGAACAATACAAATATGTAGCTTGTCTAAAGTTGGCCCAACGAAAGTTGTTATACATGCTAGCAACAAACAATGCCAACGTAACTTGAATCATTTGATCTTGCATCTTAACAGAGCAAATATTTATAGTTCTAAAACAAACCTGCAGACATAAAACAAACTCCTAGCAAGCCTAGCATAAAATACAAAAGCTTGGGTCGCTGTTACGACGAGGCAGGACACTGCATTAGGTTTTTTCACTCGTCATTGAGATTTGAATGGCAAATTCAGATGTTGTTCAGGTCAAATGATAAGTTCCATGAAGCTAATTCTAGGCTGTAGGCAACCCAATATTCTTAAAGTAGATACTCATGGCAGCAGTATAATGTCTCTCTTCAGTAGTGAACTCCACAACTGCCTTTTCAGGCCATAATTCATACCCTGGCTTATTCTGTGTTTACCGTACCGGTGATTTAGCATTCACATTCCTTGCCTCACTCATCAACACATAAGTAGGACTAATCTACAAAACGATGTATTTCGTCTGCCAAAGAATAACATCCATCTTGGTAAGCAAATGGCAAGGAACCGAATAGTTTTGTTTCCACCTCAGAACTTAACTAGCCTGATCAACACAACTAATCAACTAGAAATCGTGAACCCCTAAAAGGGAGTGCAGAAACTAAAACTGTTGGACTAAAAAACGAATTATCTAGCATAACAGAACAAAAGGAATTTAGTCCTTACAAATCAATCGATTGCACCTGATACAAATAAAAATCACTATATTCATTTCAGATCAGCACTTCACCATATGAAGTACTCCCGCACAGGAGCATCAGCAAACCAATCGCAGCAGAAATGCTAAAATTTAAAGGCATGGGAGATCCTTCTCAACCTGAATGCCCCTCAGAAACTCAACACGCGTCCTGACATTGGGCGAGAGCGACTCGAGCACGTCTGCGTGCTGCCCCGACAGGCTCTGCAGCTTGTCCTGCAGTCAAATCAGATCGGACAGATGAGCAGCCGCGGTAATTGGACCCAAAACACGCCACCAACCATCACAGCCCGCACGCAGAGCGACCAAGCGTGCCGGAATCGAACGGAAATGGGCATGCCTATGGGCCAAACAACAAGTAACCGTACCTTCAGGGCATTGACGAGGCCGACGCGGTCCTCGGGCAGGAAATGGAGGGAGGGGTAGGGCAGCACCGCGGCGGCCTGGCCGGCCGGCTGCAGCGGTCGGAGGGGGTTGGAGGGGCGAGGGGGAGGCCGGCCGGCTGCAGCGGATTGGGAGAAGAGAGGAGGTGGAAGGAGGTTGCGGTGGAGGGGATCTGGATCGGGGCTTGGGTGGATTTTTATTTTTTTAGAAAAACGGGGGCGGGTGGATGATGGAGTGGGGTAGTTGGTGGGAAGAAGTCCAATTTAAACCTTAATCTCGTAGGAGTTAGTTAAATCGGACCCGCAACTCTTAATTCCTGAAATTAGGACCCTGAACTAATAATTCTCAGTCTAAATTAAACCTTACAAGGAAACCCAAACAGGGATTACGTACGTGGCAAGGGGAGATCGGGATTACCCCGGAAAAAAAAGAGATCGGAATCGTGGGGGAGAGAACAGCAAAAAGAAAAAGGATCGGGGGGAGAGAGGGCGGTGCGCGTGTGTGCAAAGTGCATGGGCCGGCCCAGTGCGGCCCTCCAATCGACCTCATCTCCATCGCTAGTGTCCTTTGGCGTTCGACTCTGCTTCTGGCGATTGCAATGGCGACGGCCGGGTGATCGCCGCGGCAGTGACGATCGTGACGAGGCGAGGAAGGAAGAAGGCGAAGGTAACGTCCCCGAACTCCTCCTCCTCCATTAGTAGTAAGTTACCTGCTGATTTCGCAGCATTAGGGTTAGGGTTCATAGGGCAGAATTGGGGATGTTCGTCTTTTGGTCAGATTTTGCAGTTGATTTGTGTTGGAAATAGCATTGATAAATTATATTCATCTGTATTTTTTTCAGTTAAATCATGGACCCGGTAGACATATTGAACGTTCGATTTCACTTTGGTGGCGAGTTCATCCGCATTGGTCCGAAGTTGGATTATGTGGGAGGAGATGAAGGTTTTTCAGAGATTGAGAGAGACAAACTATCACTACAGGAGGTGAAAGGCTTTGTGAAAGATCATGTAGAGTTGAAGGAATCCATGAAGTATTATTTTCATATTCCTGGCAAAGAACTTCTCAATGGGTTGTTGTTTCTTAACAATGACAGTGTTTGTGTGAAGATGTCAGATTATATATGTGTGGGTGGAGTTGCAGATGTGTATGTGGAGTACCATGGGGAGGAGGACAGTCATGACACTAGGAGTGGCAGTGATTTTGAGGACGATGAACTTGTGCATTTATCTGATTTAGAACCAGATCAGGTCATTAGTGCAGAACCGGCTGAAGATGAGCATGATGTGCTAGTGCTTGATGAAACTGGTGTGATCACACAAGTTTTGTCCAGCCCAGTGAAGCAACAAACAATTATTAGAAGGAAAAATGATGCTGCTACTGACAGAGAAGACACCCATTCGGATTCAGATTCAGATTCTGACACTGAATACATGCCACATAGCGAGGACAGTGGAGAAGATTCCGAGGTTGTGCAACTAAGAAGACATGCCAGAAAGTTTAAGAAAAGAATGAGAGAGTCAAAAGGCTGGATTGGCATGGATTCAACAGGTCCTATTCCAATTGATCTTGTTGCAAACATGGAGGTACAGCTCGAGGGGGAGGAAGATGACTGGAATTATGACTCATCCGACGAGGACTACAGCTATGATGAAGATTCAGATGGGCAGATAGTGAAGAGGAAGAGCAAGTACCCAAGATACAACAATGACACTGAAATACCACATTTCAGTTTGTCGATGGTGTTCAGAAGCAAGAACCAACTTTGCAAAGCTTTGAGAAGATATGGAATAGTCACAAAAAGGAGTATTGAGTTTTTAAAATCAGAGTCGGATAGAGTGAGGGCCAAGTGTGGATGGCCTGGTTGTCCTTGGCTATTATATGCAGCAAAAAATTCAAGAACTTCAAGAATGCAAGTGGTTACCTTCAATGATGAACATCATTGTGCTCAGAATAGGCAAAACAAACTTGTGAGTGCTAAAGTGATTGCACAAAGATATGAACACTTCATACTAGCTAACCCAATGTGGAAGATTGACAACATGAAAGCAACAGTTCTCCAAGATATGTTTGCCGATGTGTCAACTTCTAAGTGTAAGCATGCAAAAAAGCTTGTCATGGACAGATTGATGTGTGGTATGAAGAACGAATACACTCGAGTGTTTAATTACCAGTTGGAACTATTGAGGAGCAATCCTGGAAGCACTATTGCAGTATGTTTGGACCCAACAAACATGGATCAAAACATATTTCAGAGTTTTTATGTTTGCTTTAATGCAATGAAACTTGGTTTCAAAGCTGGTTGCAGGAAAGTAATAGGGCTCGATGGTTGTTTCTTCAAAGGAGCAGTGAAGGGGGAGCTTTTGTGTGCAATAGCAAGAGATGCCAACAACCAGATGTATCCAGTGGCTTGGGCTGTAGTTGAGAAGGAAACAAAAGGAAGTTGGAAGTGGTTTGTTGGGCTGCTTATCAAAGATCTGGATATCAACAACAATGGAGCCGGCTGGGTTGTTATTTCAGATCAGCAAAAGGGATTAATAATGCAAGACTATCTTCCAAATGCAGAACACAGGATGTGTGCTAGGCACATATATGCGAACTGGAGAAAGAAACATGGATCTCATGAGTGGCAGAAAAAATTTTGGGCCATAGCAAAAGCTTCTAACAAGCAAGATTTCAACTATCGCAAAGCAAAACTTGCTCAAGAGACACCTGATGGAGTGAAGGACATTATGAGGGCAGAGCCTATGCATTGGGCAAGGGCATTTTTTCAGCTAGGCTCAAATTGTGAGTCTTTCGACAATAATCTATGTGAGTCATTCAATCACTCAATAGTAGATGCAAGGTTTTATCCAATAATTTCCATGCAAGAGAGAATCAGGAAGAAGATACTTGTTAGAGTGCAAGAACAAAGGGCAAAGAGTGAGAAGTGGAATGGGACAATATATCCTGGCATTTTCAAGAAGTTGAAGGCAAGTATTGCAAGGACACAGTTTGTTGAAGTGCTTTGGAATGGCACAGATGGATTTGAAGTGAAGCACATCAATGGCAGAGGAAGACAATACACTGTAAATCTTGATAAATGGACATGCTCATGTGGATACTTCCAGTTGGCGGGTCTTCCTTGCTGCCATGCAATTAGTGCCATCTACAAGTGTGGAAAAAAGTAGATGATTTCATCCACCCTTGCTATTCAGTTGTTGTGCAGAAAAAAAATATGACCACTGTTTGCAGCCTGTTGAGGGTGAGGAGATGTGGCCAGTTTCTCCAAATCCTAGGCCACAAGCACCTGGATATGTGAAAATGCCAGGCAGGCCTTCTAACAATGACAGGAAGAGGGAAAAAACAGAGAAGCCGAAGGGTAATAAAATGAGCAAATATGGAACTGTGATCAAGTGTTCATTGTGTGGTAGCATTGGACACAACAAGTCTAGCTGCAAAAAGAATCCAGAGAGAGGAAAGAAAAAGAATGCACACCTAGTTAAGAGCAAGAAAGCAGAGGTATGTTTCCTGCATTTTAGATGAATATTAGAGAATTTAAATGATTTAGACGAACACTACAGAATTTAGATGAATCATATAAAATTCAAATGAATATTTGTGTTCATTTTGTATTTTACTTATTAGAGAATTTGATTGCTTGTATATGAATACTACAGATTTTAGATGAATATTATAGAATTTCAAATAAATATTTGAGTTCATTTTGTATTTTACTTATTTCTACAACAAGCACAAGGTAGTACTACTCAAACTGCTGCCCCGGCTGCACCAACTTCTCAACCTGCTGCCCCAGCTACACCAAGAACTCATCCTGTTGCCCAAGCTGCACCAAGAAGTTCTCAAGCTGCTGCCCCTACTGTAGCAAGAACTGCTCAAGCTACAGCCCCATCAAACAAGTTCAAACCTCCAAGAAAAAGATCTGCACCCTTTCAACCTGGAGCATCTTCAGTGCCTGGTGGAACATCTTCATCTTCACTGCTTGGAACAAATGCTTCTAGAACTGGAGCAAAAAGGGGCAGAGGAAGATCTGCATCTTCAGTGCCAAGTTATGCATATTTCACTTGGAGTGGCAGCTACTAGTGCCAAAGTCATGTGTCATGTGTCCTCAATATTTTTGATTATTTTGCAAGCACTGCCAAGTTTGGTTTAATGTCGCAAACATGTAATGTTTATGCACTGCCACACGTTGCAGAATATTGCCATCTTTGGTGTAATCTCCCAGATTTATGAAGTATGAATATTCAAGATTTCTGCGGTTTATATGTACCAAATGCCCCAGATTTATTTCTGCAGTTTATATGTACCAAATGACCTAGGTTTATTACTGCAGTTTATATATACGAAATGTCCCAGGTTTTGTTTCTGCAGTTTATATGTACCAAATGTCCTAGATTTATTCCTTGCAATCTGTCCAATGTGTATGCTAAATATTTCTCCCAGTACTATAGTTTATTTCTGCAGTTTATATGTACCAAATGGTACCAAATGTTCCTCCCAGATTTATGCCAAGTATTAGTCTCAGGTTTATACCAACTACTGTATGATTTTCTTCAGTTTATAACCCCACCGCCTTTGTTGGGCCACCACTAATAAGAATCCCGGTCAAGCATTGCCACATCAGCATTTTAGGCAGCAAACGGCTGTAAGGTTTGATTTAGACCGGGAATTGTTAGTTCAGGGTCCTAATTTCCGGGATTGGGAGTTGCAGGTTCGATTTATCTAACCCCTACAAGATTAAGGTTTAAATTGGACTTCTTCCTAGTTGGTGGGGTGGGAGTATACTAGTAGCGTGGCTACCTCACATCCGCTACAGCTATCCACATAGTAGTAGCACAGGTTTTAGAACCCGCGCTACTACTATGGTCTGTTCGCAGGGCATGGTTGAAGATATTTACTAGTAGCGTGTTTTTTGGGGCCACGCGCTACCAGTAAATATTACTAGTAGCGCGGGTCA